ATGCTGGATGCATGGATGCCAAGGGGCAGGGAACACATTCCTGTTGTTCTTTGTCCACAAGCTGGTTGTCTCCATGTAGAGGGTTGTTGGATGTCCCTTATATTCCCTTGGAGATGCATATTAATCTCAAAAATGTAATCCAGAAGGCAGAATGTCCAAATGTAAATGTGTGGAATGGGCCTCATGCCCCTTCACAAGACATCAGTTCACTTTCTCATTTATCATTTCCTTCAATGAAGCAAGTTCCATCAATCGACAATACACCATTTCCTTTGTTTAGGCATTCACATATTTTAATTGAGCGTACTAATAGTTTAGCCTCCCACAAAGACAGCAAAAGAGGAAATTTAGAAGGAACAGTGATTAATATAACCTTGCTTCTTCAACAGCCTTCATGATGTACAAATTATCATATTATTCCCTCTGTCTTTGAGACATACTGCATTTGGGTTGTATGTAGTGCCACTCATGCAACACCCTGCTGCTTGTGCAGTGGACCTTCCTCTTCCTCACCTGCTCAGCCCACCCCCACATGGGGCACCCTCAAAACTCCTGCTCCAGGAGTATTGGTGGACACTCTCCAGGCGGCCATAGATCTTGTTTTTTTAAAACAGATATGTTATGAATTGACAGTAAAGAGCAGCACTTCCATCAAACAAAAATGAACATCTAGCAATCAAGAAACAGAATAGATATACAACTCTTTGGATCTGACAGGTACGAAGGCTCATGCACTCCTCACTTCCTTCAGCACAGCCACAAGGAGGAAACCAAACTTTTCATGCCCAGTCTTCATTAACCACAGCTTGTTGTTTCATCTGAATCCGTAAATCTTAACCAGTGCTATTTTTCTAGAAAAAGAGGTGCCAGAACTCATCATGAACACTTTCCTTGTTCTCTTATAAAGGCAAGGTGCCCACCTGACAGGTGCCAGAACTGAGTTCCAACGGGGGGGGGGGGGAGCCCTGATCTTAACCATGGTTTGTTTGAAACAAGCCAGCTTTAAACCAGGGGTTATGAAAGTAGTTTGTTCAAGCAAAGCACAGTCAAGATTAACTGCAGGTTGATCTGCTTGTGGCTGTGCTGGAGTAGGAGAGGGGAGGGAGGCAGCATGCAATCCCAAGGTTTGCTGCAGCTAGTTCCTGTCACAGTTTATTATGACTTTCAGCTGCAGACTTCGCATGAGCTAAAGTGAGATTTATGTGCAAAAGAGAAACTCCTGTTTGATCCCCCCCCCTCCTGCAGTTTGGAGTATTGTTTGATGAGTTCCACATCATCGACTACATTTGCATAGTCGAGAATATGTTATGCTCTTAAATCCTTATTTGTTCAGTTTTGTTTACATACAAGTTCAATGATAGGGTGCCATTGACACTTCTGGTCTTGAGCATTGTCAGTGGTCTTCGGTCTTCAGGCCTATGTTCCACACCAACCTCCAATCTGCTTTTAATTTTTCTCTCCCTCCTCATGCACCTTACTGTAAATGCCCAGAAGTTAATATTTAAGTTGCATGCCGCACTCTTGCTTCAACACACACACACATTGTGCATGTCTTTCTTCTTTGCAATCCTCCTTCTTCCTTGACAATGAGCAGCAAAAACAGGGGGGTGGGGGAAGCAGGGAGAAATGGTTGAAGCACCACAAACACACCCACCTTAAATCATGTGATGTCATAAATGTGGCACAGTAAGCATGCAACTTAAGTGGAATTTACTTGCTGGGGATTACACCAAGAGCCAAAATCATGCTTCAAAACACATTGGGTGCTGTGGTGGGTGGAATTGCCAAAGTCTTTTTTCCCTGCACATCCCCCCCTTTTTATTGACCCCCCCAAGTATGTAAAGCACACAAGTTAAATGCATGTTGTGAGCTTACCATATTCAAAATGAAGCCATACTCATAGTGAACCAACTGAAATCCATGAGCTGTGGTTAGCCATGAATCTGAGTAACTTAGAGCCATTGATTTCAATGGGTTTTAATTTGACTATGTTGGATGCAATGCTAAATGATAGCAAGTGATTGTTGGAAGTGTTGAAATGCAGTCAGCTAGCACTGGAGCCTGATGTGTCTGCATGGGAAATAATAGCTGGAGGGAGGAACCTTCAAGTTTCCTAGACTGTCCTTTCTGAACAAACCTGTACTTACCTTCCCTCGGGTACTATACTAATACTCTCAGGGTTGCTGAAATCACTTGCTACTTCCTTCTTCTTTTTCATTACCTTGGGACTCTGGAGAGGAAACATCTTTTTGTGACTCTCCTGCTGAGATGAAAGAGCAAGCATGGCTCTTTGCATCTCCTCCTTACTTAGTTAAAACTAAGATCTTTCCTATCACACTTGTACTTCCTTCAATAAACATAGATTTCTTATTTTCCTAAATTCAGAAGTCTCAGTGTGATTATATTCAGGGCAACGCGTGCTCCTCCAACATAAATCCAGTGCCCAGTTGAGTCTCTGTGTGCGTTTTAACCCCAAACCAGTTGCATCATCATAACTAGATACACTCAATGACTTCCACGGAGTTGAAATTATTCACATCAGCTGGCCTGTCGGTCCACTAATTTGTCCCGTTTTTAGTCTCAAGTTCATGTGGCTCAACAAATGATATGGAAGAAACAAGCTGAATGTTTACAGACTGCACTCCCATACTCACTTACGTAGGAGTAAACTGAATTCAGGAAGCCTTATTTCTTTTCTTTTATTAGTTATGCAAGAAATAACAAAGTACAACTGGAAGAAATCATAAATATACCATTTCCCCACCTGCCCACCTCCCTATCCGCCATGGTACAGTGCTGTTCAGAGGTTGGAAGAATGCCTTTATGTTTGTTTTTACAGCTTGGGGAAGAGTTTACAGTCTTGTTGAGATGTGAAGACTTGTCCTGAAAGGGGTCTTACTTCGGAGTAGACATATGATTCCACTGCCAAGCATTCAACCTCTCCCCAACTTGTTTTCTTGACTTGGTGCAGGAGGATGAGACAATCTGATACGTATTTGCAACTTTGAACAAACATGGTGGCTGCTGCTGCCCACCCCCCTTTGGTAAACCCATATTACTACATCTCTTAAATGTACACCATACATTTACCTAAAACTGAACGTTTGGTAGGTCGTGAATGTAGGTTTATCAGAGAGGTGTTTCTGACACAACATTTTGCAGCTGTGGAATGGCTTTTGGAAACACTTCCAGGCAAGTGCATGGGAAATGATTGCTTGCAAGAGGTCAATCCGCACAACTTGCTCAAGGTCACTTGGTGGGTGTCATATTTAATGTTACAACTTTGTGGATGCCAGCACAATCCTGTGCACGTATGTAGTCCTCAGCAGCAGGAGGGGATGCAGTTCAGTGGTAGAGTGCGTGACAGAACCAGCTCTACCGTTAGGCAGTGAGGCCGCCACCTTCAAATGGCGGATACTGAGATGGGGGTGGGCTTGCTGCATGTCTGCCCTGCCCCCCTCTTCTCCACCCAAGCACAAACCCTTAGGGATGGGGGACATGCTGCCCCATCACCACTGTCGAAAGAAGATTCAGCTGCCATTCCAGTTGGCTTCTGTACATGAAACTGGGAGGGGCGGGGGAAACTTGTCCTTTGGCTCGGGTAGTTTGCCTGCTGATGTTTTTACAGCGGGTTTCATTTTCAGTATACACCTGACAACGTAATTCCCATATGAGATGCCAACTTTGCATTCAGAGCCACGAACTTTGCCTCTGCTCTTTACAGAACGTTGTGCGTGTGAGTCTTTTTAGGTTTGTGCCTTTTTTGTTGCTGTTGTTTGTACGTTTTAAAGAGACCGAATCTGGCGCTTAAGTCTGCCCTCTTCTGTTTTGTGTTCCCCCTCACCGCTCAAAACCTCACCCCCCCTAATAAAAGCGTTTCAACGCTGGCCGTTTCCACGATCTGCGGCTAACAAGGCGCGAGGCACCATTCTGGGATAAGCGGCGCTTAGGAAACCGAGAGCTTCGCTAATGGGCTGATAAAGAGCTGTCAGACTGGCAGCCACGCGCGTGCGTGCGCGCCAGGCCGGCCAGCCGTTGGGGGGGGGACACGGGCTGTGCGTTTGTGTGTGTGAGAGAGAGAACGTGTGCGTGTGACGGAGGCGCGTCCTGCAAGTTATTTCCAAAAGTTGCAGGACGGAGACTGACCTCGTCAGAAAGAGGGGGGGGGGAGGGGAAGGTCAGCCAGGATCAGGCTCTGTGAGGATTCGTTTCCTCTCTGTCAGTGTCTATGCTGCGAACTGCTTAGCTTCATACCAACGCTGCCTTCTCTCTCCCCCTCACCCCTTTCCCTTTCCTTTTTGGCTCAGAGTCCCGCTCCCTCCAGGATCATTTTATAATTGCCTTTGAGGAAATTGAGAAAGAAAGAAAGAAAGAAAGAAAGAAAGAAAGAAAGAAAGAAAGAAAGAGAAAAGCAAGGAGCCACACAGGCGTCCGGCCCGCGCCGTTTGCAGCAGCCGTTGGCACTGAAGCGCCTCTTCCCCTGTCAACCGGCGGGGAAAGGAGCGAGCGGCAGCCTCTGAGGCGGGCGGGACGCGGCGACAGCAGCTACACGCGGGCGCTCCAAACACGCGCGCGCGCGCCCCTCGGAGCCGGCCGCGAGGTCCCTCCTCGCTCCGTCCGCCGCCTGCCCCGCCCGGCTCCCTCTCTCCTCGCCCCGCTCTCTCCTCGCGTGGGAATGAGTGTGAAGGTCGCCCGCGCCGCCCCCGCTCCAACCCACTAGCCCTCCGGCAGTGCGCGCGCGCGAGAGAGAGAGAGAGCGCGCGAAAGCAAGCGAGCTTCCCGGCTTCTGCAGCGGCTGTTTGGCCACGTGCGGGTCTGCTGCCAGTCGCCCTCGCGCTGCCCTCCCTCCGGCGCTCCCCTCGCAGACTCTCCCTCTCGCCCCCGCCCGCCGCCGCCGCTCTGTCACTCCAAGTCCAGCCCCTGAGAGGCAGCCAATAGCAGCCGTGCCATATTCACCAGTCGGCCCGTCTTAAAGCGACAGTGGGGGGGGTTAGTGGCATCTAAATCTCCGGCGCCTGGGCCGCCTCTGCCGCCTGGCTGCTCTCGGCTCGCTTCAGTGTGATTGGATGAGCGGGAGCGTGTGGATGGGCGAAGCGCTGAGCTCTCCCTCCCGGGCTGCCTGTCCTGCTCTCTGTCCCGGCGCCTTCCCTCTTCTGCTTCTCTCCCGCTCGCTTTCCTTTCCCCCTCCTTTCCCCGAGTCTGGTCATTTCCCCGAGTTTGCCTCGGGTGCTTTCCCCTTTCCCCCTCTCGCTCCCTTTCTCCTCGGTGTGATCTAGTCGCTCCCCCCACCCCGCCACCCCCTTCTGCCAACTGGGAATGCTAAAACAGAACTGATGGACATTTCCGAACTTTGCATCTCAGACCCTCTCAGCTACCACAACCAGTAGGTGCCCTCCTTGCTTTCTTCTCTTTCTTGGGGATGCTGCTTGCAGGGGGGGGGTGTTTTCTTTCCTCCTCCTCCTTTTGGACTCTTGCAGGAGAGCGTGCGGAAGCCAGATGCGTTTGAGTTGGAAAGGGGAGAAGGAATTATTTTAACTTTCTCTCAACCCCCTCCCCCCCCACAATTGCATGCGGATCTCTCATCACACCTGCACCACCTCCTGGCTACAATATGTGCCAAAGTGTTTTGGTTTTTTGCGCGCGCGTGTGCTGTGTGAATCCTGGTGTAAATAGCTTGCTCCTGTCTTAACAAGCAGGAAGGATGCAATTCTCCCTTTGGAGAGATGCCTAGCCCTAGACAGTGGGGCTGCCGTAAAAAAACCAAGAGGTTTGCCGTGGAAAGCAACTAACTCAGGGTGGCTTCAACTGGCGCGGCTTTAACGATCGTAAAACTTCTTTCTCTTGTTTCCCAGGCATGTAGATTGACAAACGTTGGAAAGGTGTGGCCTTTTTGCTTTACTGTAAAAGTTTTATGCGGCTGTATTAACCCAGAGATGTATGTGCACCAAGGCGTACCATGCCCACTCTCATATATATATATATATTTCTGTGCCTATTGGGAGCTATTTAATTTTTTTTAAATTGTATTCCATCTGAAATTCCCCAGAGAAGGCGACCCTTCTGTTCACAGGGAAGCCAGTGTAGGGATGTTGTGAGTGGACCGGAGCAAGCATCCCAAGCTGGGACTGATGATGACAGGCAGATCGTCAGCTGCTGGTGCTCTTGTTTTTCCTTTGTACGATGCAGCGGTGATGCTTTGCCTGCGCTTCCTGTTAAGCAAATAAAAGCCGCGCGCCTTGCGTGGAACTTTGGAAAGTGAACGGGGTTCGCTTGTCATTTGCGTCCGCTCCTCTTGCGCGATGCGTTCTCCAGCCCGCTGCTCCTCTTCTGATAAATCAGCTGCGAAGGAAGCAGCCAAGTCGCCCTTTTGTGTGTGTTTGTGCATTGGTCTGCATGAAGCGCCTGAAAGCACCGTGCGCTGCCCAGAGGGGGAAAGACCTCCGCTGTCCTGTCACCCCGGATGGATAGGGCATAGTTTAAAAAGCTACACCTTAGAAAAAGAAATATAAAAGGGGTATAATTTCTTTGAAAACAATCATTCCCTACTCTGTTTCATTGGATCTCTCTTTTTCCTCACCTCTTTCTTTTTCTGAGCAGCTGTCAATCCTTCTGTCATTCCTCATCTCCTCTAGTGATATATATATATATTTGTATACGAAAATTTCTAATTTTGTTGGTTCATTCTTTTCATAGCACTTTGGTCTATGCTATTCTCTCGTACTGGACTATTGAAAAGTAAAGTTCCCCAGTGGCCCAAGAGTGGCTGGGGAAACCCAGCCAGATTGGCGGGGTTTAAATAATAAAATTATTATTATAAAATTATCATTCTCTCCTCCAAATTTTATTTTCATAAAACAGTGGATTCAGAATAAAATAGAAATCAAATATCATTTATTTTACTAAAAACTGCAAGCTTAAAAAGTGAAGTGTGGTCTCTTTTCAAAAGAAGGCTTTTATGGTTTTGTAGCCTCTGGTTTTGTGCTTTTCCTCCTAACTTTTTGTTGTTGTTCACATCCAACCTACTTGTAGAACAAGAAGGGTGGTTGCAGACTCAGGAAGAAAACCAAAATGAAGTACTTAACATATTCTGTTTTTAATGGCTTGCAAAATTTGATAGAAAGTAACCAACAGGGCTGTGAGCCTGGTGCAATTTTCCTGCTTCAGTTTTAACTTGGTTTCCAATTAAAGGTACAAAAGTGGACCAGTTGGATTTCCTAGAACGGAATGGATGGGCAGAAGAGGTACACTGTTCTTCATGTTACTAAATATAGTCCTATCAGACTTGGCAGAAGTGGTTTTTTTCTGAGTTGGCATGGGACTTCTTTTGTTGTTGATGTTGAAGGATTGTGTGCCATATAAGGGCCGGAGGATTTTCATAAATTGTATTAAAAATGGATTTGGAAGACACTGGTAACTGGAGAAAGTGCAGGGTAAAAAGCATTCTGAAAAACACGGTCTAATTATTTCAGCATCCCATTTCTGTTTTCATTTACATATTTGTTGCATAATACAGCAAAGGTATAAGTCAAGGCCAGCTACGGTTGTGCAAATGGTAATTCATCTGGGGTATGCACGTGTTTTTAGGAGTATTTTTTAAAATGATATGTAAATATTTGTATGGATTATTTTATAAGAGCATTTAAAAAATCATTTGTCTGCACATGTGTTGCAAGTTCCCACCTTGAATGCTGGTCACTTAGATAATTTGCATAATTATTTGAAAGCCAATCCTTTTCTGTAATAGTTATTGTTGCTATTTTTAAATAAGCAAGAAGCACATATTAATTCATAATATTGAAAAGGAGCTCTTCTTATTTTGCAAAGCCATTTGATTATAAAAAATGAGTATGGCTGCAGCTAGTGGTTGGTTCCCCTTATATGTTCCAAACACTGATTTGGAACTTGCAGTATACATGTTTTAATATTGAGAAAGTAGCAGATGTGGCAGAGAAGTATTCCATGCAGGTCTCGGGACTGTGGACTCAGTACATACCACGGAGTTCAAATCCTGTCCTACAGTGACTCTCACCAGGGCCTGACTGAGCTGAAGAAATCAGCATCTATTCACTCAGGACATGGCATTTCACCTTACTGGGGTTAGGAAAGTTCAATCGTGAGCCCTTCAACAGGGAACTGAAAAGAAGTGTTAGCAGTATCCTTCATGAAGCTTAGGATCTTGCCCTGGTAGCTTGACTTCAAGCATTTCTATATCCTTTTGCTAATTTCATCTCCGTATATATATATTGGAGCAATTCCTTACAATCACTGAAACGGTGTTAGAAAAATCTACCTGCCTGAATGTAACATGGAGAACAAGATGCAAACTGAAACTTTTTGTAAGAGTAGGGTTAGCAAGCAAGCATACAAAAAAAATCCCCTCCAAAAACAAAACAAAAATCTACCAGCTGTATAAATGAATCTGCAGTTTGTCTTTTTCAGGTCAAGGCAGGTAGAGTCCATAAAATTAGTCAAACTGTACCAGTGCTGCTTGTCTGCAGTACAGCAGTTGTGTAATATAGATCTGTATGTGTGCATAAATATGTATGAGGTCCAGCTACATCTGTGCATGTATCTATGCGTGTATATCATGCTTACATTTCAGACTGTAATTGTCAACACCTAGAATATCCCTTGAAGTGAAATTCAGCACTTTTTGTTTGCTTTAGCATTAATGTCACAGCCCAAGATGAGAAGTGATTTCTCCCTCCTTGTTTCCTTTCAGCTATAGCCTCAGATGTTGTAGGACGATACCTTTTGCCATTCCTAATCAATAGTGTGTATGGAATAATAGAATAGACCAAGGTTAGCACATTATGAAAAAAAATGTCACTTTGGTGTACAGCAATATTCTGTCAGGTGTGCCTGTTAAAAATGCTTTCTTTGACAGGTTAAATAAAAATGCAGAAATGTCGGCCCAATAAATGAGTTATCAGCTGCAAAAGAAAGTGCAAAATAATAATTTCACCTGTGAACATGGAAACCCAGATTTAGAGGAATTAGTATGATTCCATTCAGTATTCGAATAAACTGGGGATAATTATTATCTTTTGCATTTGATTCTGTTGATCCTTATTTACAGGCCAAAGAAATGTGACTTAGATTCTGAAGGATTGTTGAAGTGCATTTGCTTCTATATTGTCAGAAAAGCTGAATGAAGCGACTTTAGTTCTAGGCACTCCTGGAAATCTAGAGTGAGGAGTGGTTGCTCTTTTCCCCTTCTCTCCAGATTTGTGAATTGGGGGGAAAATTCTAAACAGAGAGACTGAATGAAGCTGTAAGTGCTCTGGGCGCTCTTGTGTACCTACAATAGGGAGTTGTTGCTCTGTGTGTCTATTTTCTTACTGACAAATTAATTCAAGAAGAAGCTGTAATGCAAAGGAACGGGACTTAGCTTGTCCCTTGAACAGATTTCCTATTGTGTCACTGGGTCCTCTTTTCAAGAGCCAGGCTAGTCTTGAATGTGAAAAGAAAAGGTTAGCCTTTCTTCTGCCTGTCTTTCAGGTCCTACTTTTTCATATCAATTATTGAAAATTATGGAAAGATCAATTTATTATTAATATTTCAGGGAAGGAAATGCAGCGGGACAGGGATATTTTCGTTGTATTGATTGAAAGCAATCAATAGATATTGTGTTTAGCCTGAGAGGGACAAGACTTTGGAGGAATTGCGTCAGAGAAAGTTGCTGTGACAGAAATTTCACCGTGGTTATTATTATTTTTCTGGGAGAATATGGTACTTGAAATCCTCTCTCTTTAAATTTCTGATCCACTCCCACGCTCTCTACTGTTCTCTCGTTTTAAAGTTGTGTGTGTGTGTGTGTGTGTGTGTGTGTGTGATGTCTTTCACATCCACACTTATTTAATCCCTCCAGTAAGAAATTCCATATGTGCCATAACTCTAAAGATCTGAAATGTTTTTGTTCCGGATATACAATCACTTCCAAGATTTGGGGGGGGGGAGAGTATAGATTTAAACTGTTATGTAACCACATTTCACGAATGCAGTCATACTAAATATCTCATAAGCATGTCTAAATGTTTGTGATGCATTTACATACAGAAAGAAATAGCAAAAGCAGAATAAGCCAGAAATGCTTATAGCTCTCCCTTCTCTGTTCTGTGCGTACTACCACACTGGGGTTGATAAATGGTCGTGGTAACCCTGTTGTGGGTGGAACCTTATGGCACTCTGGAGACACTTAGATGCTCCTTCAACTTCCTTTAAATATGCTGCAATCCCAAGCATGTTTACTAAAGAGTAAGCTCTGCTGATCTCAGTGGGACATACCTCTGAGTAAACATATTAAGTTCATGCTAAAAGTGAGATTGGCACGCTTCGTTTGACAGCTGCTCAATAACGATTTTATTATTTTTATTTCTATACATATGAACAGGTGGGGAAATAGTTACATTATCTAGGAAGTGTCAAAGACACACACACAGCACAGGCGTCCCACAGTAACCTCTTACAAAGCGTGAAACTAAAGATGCTGTAGATATTAATGAATTGGTTTAGGGATAGGTCAACATAACAAATGCTATTCACGACCAACTCTAGAAATTAACCGGGGCGGGGGGGTGAGTATGCTTTATTTCCACACAGCTAGCAGGTTTTGATGTAAGACAGAAAAGCACATTAAAGTTCAACTTGAAATTGTATCAGTTGGGGTGAATTTTGCAATTTATAAACCCCGACAGAGACTTGAAGGGGGGAGAGCTTCATTTCTGGAGAATAATTTTTATGGAGCTCTTACAAGTTAATTTTTCTCCCTTCTCTGCCCTGGCTTGGCCTCCTGTCTCGAAAGCTCTTTCCTGCCTCCTCTTTCCACTTGGACTGCCCACAAAGTGGCCTTTACAGCTGAAGTGCCAGTTATTTTGTCTGTCAAGAAGCACTTGTGAGCTGTGTGCTGCTGGAGGTGACTATCTGTTAGGGAAAGTGTGCCTGCTTGAAGTGGAAAGCACTGCAGAATAATATCTTTGTCATGTTTGTAATTGCAAATGTAATTAGCAAACAAGCTCTGGGGGATTAAGGAGTTGAAACTTTCGCTGCACATGACTTGACCCTGTGTTAGCCAAACAGGAATGGTGTGCACTGTTTAACCCGTGCCAACTCTGCATTTTTGTCTGGGCATATCTGCTGCTCATAGATTTCTGCTCTTAGTGTTCCCTGTGCTCCGAGCTCTCTCCAGAAAGAATTACGTTTTTTTCCCCGTGTGAAAGAAGAATGTGCTAACATATACTAGTTTGCTGAGCTGCTTGGTGCTCATGAGCACCGCAGACAGCATTGCCCTTAATTATCCGGTTGTATTTTGGATGGGCAAATTGCGAAGAGCAGGTGGCACAATGTGGTCGCGCAACTTGTGATAGCTTTGTGACTGATTTTGTCCCTTCCTTTGCTCTATTGTCTTCCCTGCGTCTACCGTGTTGAGTTCACTTTCTCACTCCCCAGGGAGAAATGTCCATGTTTAGATTTTTTGGGGATCACCTCCCCTAAACGTCCAAGTTCCCTGCTAATTTTATCAATCTGCAAATAATATTCTTGCCTCCGGAGTGTCATGCAAACAGCAGACACAGAGTCCATTCAGAAAGTCACAAACTTTGAGTGTGTGCATGTCCAGGAGGTGTTTGCTTTCTCATGCAAATTTTGTCATGCTAGAGGTTCTTTTCTGTCCCTTTTGTGTGCAGTATTTAAGTTGCAGTAACATGCCATGACCAAGCTGTTTTTGTTTTGTTTTTTAGTGTGAAAGGGAATGGATTGAGAATAGAGAGAGGCGGCGTATCTTGTCCGATTCTGCATTGCCGGTGAGGCGTTGATTTCTAGGGTATCTCCATAATTATTGCATCCTGTTTATGGGGTGGCTGGGAGGAAAGGGAAACACCACAGGCAGGCTCCCAAAATTTGGACATATCCTTGTGCCCACATGTTCCTCTCTTGTTCAACTAAAACTATTTTCATATGCCTTGTATGCATCAAATAACAGTTGGGTAGTGTTCAAGACCTCCAGCTGGAGCATCATCTGTGGTGACGAAGGAGATGGTCTTTTATCCGTCTTCTGGGTTGACAGTATATACTTTAACTGAGCTGTTCTAGCTCACTACCACCCTATGTATACATATAAAACCCGAATTCCCATCAGTGGACATTAATTTTTGGGGGAATTTCTTTTTCTTTTGTAATTCAAGTTTTACTCTTGCACTCTTACCCTTTAAAACACCTTTCTGTTGAAACAGAACACTCATTGTTTATGGTACCTGAGCGCATATTGTTTTGCTTAGCCAAGCATAGGGTAAAAAGTATGTTTTAAAAAAATGTTTGGTTTGGTATTATATAGGAGAACTACTGTTTGAAATACTGTTGCTTCTTTCCTGTAAAAATACAGGGGGAGGTAAAGGACATAAATATAATTTTATCGGTAAAATAGATTTTATAATATTCTTTAAGTGTGCCCCAGAGACCAAGGACATATCCTTTTACTGCTATACATGTCACCTTATAGGTCTCTTCAGCCAATGGTTTTGCAATATGGTCTTTATGCAAATAATTTTTTACTCATTTTGAAATGTAAGCGAATGCCAGTTACCTATAATTGTTGATTATGTATCTGCGTAGATGGCTGTTAAGAATCTGGATATTCATTTCAGGAGAGAACAGGTCTTCACATTTTCTAGGACAGTCATTAGATTAGTAGCGGGGGCTTATTCCTGAGATGCTCTGCGGATTTCACACCTCTTAAAAACAAACAAAAAAGCGAAAACACGCTCTGATACAAAATGGCATCTGAGTTACAGGGTCTTTGCTTTTGATTGCTATAAACACATTATGCATTTAATATGCGGAAATTACTTCAAATTAACATCAAATGTTGATGATAAATAGCTGAGGCACATCTCCATTCAAAATCCTGTTTATAAGCTGCCACCACCCATATTATCCTTTTCCAAGTACTTCTGTCCTTTTGCCACCCCTCTCCTCTTACCACTTCATTCAACATCTCAAGTGCTTCTATTTTTATGCCACTTACTTTTTTAGTAACTCAGGGAGGATGGGTGGTGGTGGGGAGAATTGCGGGGGCATTTGTGCTGCGGCAGCAGATCCAGTGAAACCTAAAGCCTTAATGCCCATTGCCTGCCACACTTCAGCAGTCAGCTTGGCATACAAGTCTTGCTTTGTCAAAAAGAGGTATCTGCAAGGAAGAGGGCCTTTGTGTTGCTACCTGGTTTGTTATGCGGTGACAACGGAGTCAGGGGAGTCTGCAATGCAGTCTAGCCTGGGACCAGAGGCAGGGGGAGAAGGTGTTGCTTGTCACAACCTTCCTCCCAGGCACAAAGATAACCCCAGGCTGGGCTTCCTCAGCTGATGTCCCAGTACCCTTTAGAAAGGCTTGCCTTGCCTTCTCTCTAGTAGTGGATCCTGCATTAACAGGTTGTAGCAATGCACCCTTTTGAGAAAGGTAGCAATCGGTGCATTCAGGTGTTACTTTAAATAAAGGGTAATGGATGACATAGCTATAGAATAAATGTTCATGTGGCTGTACCTTTCTTCTCATGCAGGCATTGCATAGGTGATAGAAAGGAATCTGTTTTCAGTCGCACTCGTAAGCCTGAGTAATGTGTGTATATATATATGCAAAGGCTTTCATACACGGTGGGTTTCTGTGCTACGTTTGCACACATATAGTACATGTGAGAATCAATATATATATATGTAAATCAGTGTGAACTACGCCCAGTATAGGTGCGTATTTAGTACACAGAAGTATCATATGCTATATTTATATCCTTCTAAATACAGCATGAATGTACTTTAAAATCTGTACCTGCAGTCTACATTTATCACCATCTGTATCTCTAAGCATATCAGTCTGTAGCAATAGAATAAACTTAATCTTATCTCCCTTAAAAGGTAGTTCTGTGTCGATGCTTGTGAAACGTCAAAGATTATTGTATAAAGATAACAGAAATGCACAGTAATGTAAAATGTAAATACAGTGCTCCTATGGCTTATTGGAAGATATCGTTTGATGTGGAGCAAACAGAGCAGGAGAGCAATCAGAATGTTGCAGAAGCAGGCAATCACTTTTTTTGCCTTGTTAAAATTTAAGGAAAAAACCTGGATGTACAAAGCATTAACAAATCACTGTCTTAGTCTGGCAACAATCAAGCAGGTTGATTCTATGGATTTATCATTCTCTAGTTTCATGTATGTTTCATGCAGGCTCTTCAAGAACTTTGTGGAAGGGGTATTTTGGGGTATTGTACATTCAGTGTTTATTACAATATGAGAAATTCAGTACTGTATGCCTCCCCCTAGAAGCCATCACAAAAGACTGCTCTTGAAAACACTTAATTGCATCAAACAACTTTTCTCTTTTTTAACTCATAAAACATCAGCTATTCTTTTAAAATAACAGATAGTTTCCTTTTTCACAATTCTAGTTCTCAGACTAATATTGCAGAAAGCATCTGCAAAAAAAGATATCCATGACTGCTCCCATTTCTTACTGATCTGAGAGTTCCTCATCTTCTGAAAATACTTTTCTGTCTTTAAAGAACCAGTGCAGTTGAGCCTTAATACCGCATTTGTTCACAAAATATGTTTGATCCATATCTATATCTGAGGAATAAATATGAGAAATACATATACCCAAACAATCTTGCATTGATTCACTTTTCTTTTCAACTCTCATGTAGGAATTTAAGGGAGATAGAGTAAACACTATTTAATTGTCGATTGAAGAATGAGAGAATCAGACTGTTTTTTCCTCTCTGTCAGAGTGAAGCTTCTTTGCCTCAGTCTGTGCAAAATTGTATAGATTCAATTCCCTTGTTGGCCCAAGTGTTAAAAATTAATTCATGAATAATAAAAACCAATCAGTCTTGTTGAGTTTAAGAGGGATTAGAAGAGAGGTTTTTGTATAGAAGCAGTTATATATCTTGGTGCCGATGTTGTTGGACTATTAGACATTGTATAGGGTCTTGCTGGTCTATCTGATAACAGTGCCTGATTTGCAAAATACAGTTGTTATCCTGATGACTAACGAGCCTAATATTGGGTGGATTAACAGAGGTCACGCAGCTAGTGTCTGTTACAAGTTCTGAGTCCCTTCAGAGATAATTCACTTCATTCGAAAGCATTTGGAAGGTAAAGCGATGGTTACAAAGCACATTTGAACGAGAGCAGTTCTTGCTACTGTTGCTCATTAGTTGGATAGAGCTTTTCAAAGGGATTTAGATTATTACTTTCCATTGAAAGCCAGATGGAGATTTGGATGTTCATTCGCCAACACTGTTTTCAGTTCCATACGCTATGCACATTTATTCACATCGGTTCCTGCCCTGGTGAGGTTATGGTTCAGTACATAAATACTAAAGGTAATTTTAATTTAATCCAGCCTTTGGAATACTTTTTATTTCCTCCTGTGTGATGGGTGCTTTGTATAACAGAGGTGCCTTGGCTGCTATTTATTCATTTATTGCTGTTGCTGAGCCTGTCTGACCACCTCAGTTTTTAGGAGAGGATTCTTCTCCTCATGACTGCAAGGCAGAGATGGGAACCCTGTGGACCCTGAGAAGTTTCCATAATTCCCATAATCCCAAATCAGCATGGCCAACATCAGGGATGTTGAGAGTTGTACTTTCACAATGTCTTGAGGGCCACAAGTTCCCTACCCCTGCTCCAGATCACATACCCCTGTGATGTGTCCCTTATCAGGTTCCTTATCTGCTGTTGACAAACCATCGCTGCTTATTCTATTAATTTGCTTGCAGCCAGGCTTACAATGTCAGGTGACCAAATGCCACGCTTTCCCACAAGCTTCATCTCTATCCCCACACCTCTGTTCAGAGAGCACATGGATTCAAAACTGTAAAACCATCTCCTGGGTTGGGTGTTTTGTTTAGCTGAAGTATCAGCTAGATCCACTAATATATCCCAGTGGTAGAACATCTGCTTTGCATCTGGAAGGTCCCAGGTTCAGTCCCTGGATAGGGTTCTCAAAACTTGGAGAGCCTGTTCCAGTCAGTGTTGATGCTAATGGGCAAGATGGACCAATAGTCTAGTTAAGTATAAAGCAGTTTCTTATGATGTGGTAGTGGTGTTCAGTGTGCCATTTTGCCTACTTTGCTCAGCTTGGGAAAAATGCGATGAACCTGCTGTTTTGAGGTTACAGCAGAATGGAATCAAAACACGAACACTTTAAATTTTTGCACAAACACAGAATAGAAACTTCAAAAAATCTGACGTGTTAGATCCATGAAATATTCACACTTTCAGTGCAACGATTTTTTTAGACGATACAATATTCATATTTGGGATTACTTTTATTCTTACTGATTATAGTCAGGGCTGTTCATTAAAGAAATCATAGTCAATTCTATGAGTTTTAATTAATTGCTTAGTTGATTTTGTATAAATTTGCAAACAAATAAAGCTGGTTTTTTTCTTAAAAGTGGAATCCAATTTAGTGCTTTTTTGGCTATGGACAAAATCTGATTCAACAGGCACCTCCATTAATGGAAGAGAAGGAGAGGTGACTTTTTGTGGATTCCCCATTTCTCCGACACACCCTAATTTGGATGTTCTCCCCAACGCTTTCAACCTGAGGGGGCTTCAAGTTGGACAGGGAAATCTCCTCCCTCCTCTTTTGTTGATGGAGCCATCTACTGGAGCAAAGGCCCTTCCAGATGGATTCCAGTCTTTGTTTCTTTGATTTTACATAGTTGTATCGCAATATCCACCATTTTCGAAGAGGCACTACATCTCTGTGTGAGTGTGAGAGAAATACATAAATAAAACCAGCACC